CAGAAGATCGGCACACCCCAAGGAGGGGACTTGGAAGGTGACCTTCAGATATGCCTCAGCCACATAGTGCATTAAAAGTCAACACCAGCACCTTGAGTTGGACTCTGAAACTGATCCAGGATCAGTGGGACAAGACTGGAGCGATGTGGCCCCTATGACCCACTCCGGCCAATATCCTAGCTGCAGTGTTCTGTACCAGTTGAAGTTTCTGAGCGCTTTTCAAGGGCAGCCCACATACAGCACACTGCAGTAATCTAATCTAGATATTACCAGGGCATGCTCCACAGCGGCCAGATGTTTTCTGTCCAGGAAACCGCAGCTGGCTTGAGAAAAGGCACTCCTAGCCATAGTTGCCAGCAGCAGCAGACCTGGGTCCTGATGGGCTCCCCAGCTATGCACCTGTTCTTTCAAGGAAAGTGCAACCCTATCCAGAACAGGTGAAATCTTAAATTCTGGGGGAGGCCTTCTGTTCACCAGTAGCACTTCCATCTGTTAAAGATTACGTAGACAATAGAAGACAACAACAGGCACTCTTATCCATGTGCTTGTTAACCTTCTCCCAAAAAAACCCAACAACACCCAAACCCTCCAAAAGGCTGGTGAGGCAGCATTTCTCTTTGCAGAAGCCATGCTGATTTCCCCCTCCTGTGGAGAGAGGGAGGCATTCTAAATCAACAGCCTTTCACATTGTATAGCACAGAGCATGGATTCTTCTGAGCCTTATTACAGGTTCCCACTACTAGTGATTAGTAATGGCAATGTTCAACTACTACTGTTCTTTCCCAGTATTCAGCAATTGCAGGGACTTGCTGGGGATATTCTATGTTGCACTTAACTTAGAGTGAGAGGGAGGCTTGTAGGCCAGAGGCTAGGTCTTTGCTTCAACACAGAGCATACCCCAGACTCCCCCCCCCCCAATGTGCTGGAGTTGTGTGGTACTAATCAGGGTGGTAAGAGTCCCCTGAGCATAGAAAATAGGAAAAACTCTTTGTTGCTCTGAAAAGGGAGCATGAATGGGTGGGAAATGTGCCTTTTTCATGGACTTTCTTAAGACAGCTACTATGGTGACTAGAGTGTTTTACTAGAACTGGGAACATGTAGGCTCAAATCCCCAGTCTGCCATGAAGCTTTCTTGGTGGCCTTGGGCTAGTCACTCTTTCTTTCAGCCGAACTACCCTGACATGATTATTGTGTGGGTAAACTGGAGGAAGGGAGAAACCATGTATGCCGCTCTGAGCTCTTCTGGGTAAGAGCAGGATAAAAACGTAACAGAGAGCAGGCTCTCTTATCTGTTTAAAATATTTGTATGCCCACATTTCTGACAAAAGCAAGCAAGAAATTCCTGTTAAGACCTTTACAAAACATAAACTAAAATAATAACCATGCATGAACATAATGTGTGCGTATTAAAACATTTCCTAGTCCTAGAAATAACAAAGCTGACCATTTGAGAAGGTTCACTAATTGTAATTCTCAGGATGTAATATGCCCCTGCATTTCCTTAGATAGAGGTCAGACCTCTAGATCATTAAGAATGAGAATTATTGAGCACATGTGTCAAATCTGCAGAGGTATTCATGGGACTCCTTTAACAGAACATTTCCAAAACAAATCTTAATTCTGTTTTGGATATAAATTTCTTTGATCTTGAGGAAGTTTCATTTAACCTCCTGAAATATTTATAAATAAATATACACAAACAACACAGACACTTCTATGATGGGAGGTGTTTTGGATTTATACTCTTGATATAGTGTGTCCAAGAGGTCTTAATGACAAATCGGAATGGTCAGTGTTTTTATAAATAATTAGCTACTATTTTTTCTTAGTAGGGTTTCTTTAAGATCATGATTTAAAATACTGTTGCCTGCAACAGCTGTAAGTCATTAGCACCAACACTTTATCTAGTCATGGGATTGTTTTCACTCATCACCATTTTATGCATTGCTATCTACAGCAGCGAATGTCTTTGTTCAGTCAAGGTAATTTTTTTTCCCCATTTCAAAAAGGTATTATTGAAGTTAAAGTCATAATGCAATCACCAAAGATGTAACAAAGCATCAGAAATCCCTAAGGCAAAGGATCCATATCCACTGTAGAATACAAAAGTCAGCAGGTATTGTCTGTTAACTTGAAGTTTTCTGACAAGCCATTCTAGCAGGAGTAAGATATAATAAAATAAATGAATAAATCCACTAAAATGTGTTAAAGAGTTGGTTGGTTAATTGATTATTATTTATATTCTTCCTTATATTAATTATATGCATAAATGTTTCATAAGATTGGATTTTGATACATGATTGTATCTAGTAGAATTTTAGTTTTTACTGTTGCACACAACATGTAATGTTATCTTCTTCTCAGATTTGTGTGGCAAAATATGAACCACATATTTGATCTCCAGTTAATGTGAAGGTTTAAAATGAACTGAAGAAGATCACTTTTCAAAACCAGTAGTTCCCAGGAACTTGTCCTTTGCATCTTATGTAACCTTCAAAGGTTTATTTAAGAGGTGTTTTGGATATTGTCACATACTACTTACAGCATTGTTACTTTGGATTTCTGCGTTCATCACATGAAAAATATATATACACATTATGTTTATGTGTGGTTATTGTTTTAGTTTACATTTTGTAGTTTACATCTTAGCTGTGTAGTTTCTGTCTTGCTTCCTTTTTTACTGGGACCTCTCTTTCTCCTCTTCTGTTTTTGCATTTCTCACAGACCAGTTGGGAGCCAAGGCAAGCAACAGCAAGAATTAAACAATTTTATTTCATTGACTAAATAAACTCACCTCCTGGGTCTCAGATCAAAATCTCTTGGGAGCCGAACAGATTGGCTGCCCTGTTGGACAATTAGAACAAAATCCACAGAATTGTCAAGAAAAAACCCCAATTAAAGTTCACCAAGGAGCATGTGAGGTTTCAAGTTGTAGGGAACTGTTACTCAGACAGATGCTTGGGTGGGGGGGAGGTCAAAGTATCGCTGAAGGGTGGGGTGACAAAATCTCTCTTCCCTGACTTGTTTCACTCTCTTAAGATGGAAATAGGGGAGGTTCCTGCAGGCTGAATAAGATAAACAGCCAAGCAGCTGTATTAAAACAACTGGCTTTTTCAGTGCCATGCCAGTATATAGTCTGAAAATTCTCTGTGTTATAAAACCTAACAGATTTGTCCTATCTGCATGAAATTTGGTAGGGTGAATGCAAGGATCACACTGTCCGCAGCTTGTTTTCCTGGCTGGTTAAATCTCAGTCATCAGTTTCTTTTGTTGCCATCCCATTTTATGTTGAAAATTCAGTGACGTTCTAAAGATGGGGGTCTGTCCTTCACCTCTGGTTTGGCGAAAAACCTCTTGCGTTTTTCGAAAATGGTGAGGTTTTAGAATTTCGTTTAAAGCGCGTAGTCATCTGTTTGCAAATTGTGCAACGCTTGTTGAATAGGGCGTCTGGAGTTAGGAACAAGAAGGGGACGGTTGCTGGCAAATGCAGCCGGTGTCTGACTGGCAAATTTAGCCTTCAAGGCAGACCCTCACCCCGAAAGTAAAATGGCTGTTGCTGGACTGCGCAGCCTTTCAGAAACCAGTCAGTGAGGGGAAAGAGGCAGCGGTTGGATTGCTTTGTGGAAGGGAAGGGAAAGGTTGGGCGCTGTTGTGTGAATCCTTTTTCTGCCAGCGCTGGAGCTGGGGACCTTGGACATACAGGTTTGCGGACAAGAGGAGACTTGCTGTGAGCAAAGGGGGCTGCGAATATTGGAGACCGGTCTGAGGATGTGTTTGAGCCAGCAGAAGAGCTGTTTACAAGAAGGCGTTGAGCAAGGGCCACGGATAGGCAGACACTGCAACAGCTAATGACTCTTGCAGCAGGCCTTGCGGCCACATCCTTCCAGCTGTGAGAGGCCCCAGTTCTGGAAGCAGTCAGGGCAGAATATCTTCAGCAGAGTTTGGGGAAAGGAGTCTCCTTACTGTCAAGTGAGTGCTGTGCCTTCTAAAGGCAGCCTCAGTTTAGGTTCACCACGGTTGCTGTTCCCGGGCCCAGGGGTGGTTACGTCCAGGCTTCGGTCTGTTCCTCATAAGGCAGATAATGCCTATCAGAGTGCCTGGATTCAGGAGGGACCAAAGACAGAGGAGATTCAGAGGAGGTTCATGCTCCATATCTTCTGTTCCAGAGTCCTCACTGGGGCTGCCCAGTCCTTCTGGCCCCGCATGGACTCTTGGTTTCCCTGGCGTGAGTGCAAGACATAGATGCTGCCACTGCTGTATGCATTTGTGTGATGACAGGAGTATGGTGTGTATGGGTGTGTGTGAGAAAAAGAGACAGTTCATATCAATCAAATCCTATCTTCCACCAGAAACTACACCCGAGAATACATGGTCAAGATTTTACCAATAGTTTGCAGATTATACCAAGCAATCAACATAATCATCTAGAGTTTGTTAAGGGGCTTTTATTGTATAAATATGATATACTTGCAAGCGGCATTGGTAAAGTTATAAGGTGAATCACACAAATTTATGATAAAGTAGGCATTATTATCGGGTGTGTGTGAGAAAAAGAGACAATTCACACCAATCAAATCCTGTCTTCCACCAGAAACTACACTCGAGAATACATGGTCAAGGTTTTACCAATAGTTTGCAGATTATACCAAGCAATCAACATAATCATCTAGAGTTTGTTAAGGGGCTTTTATTGTATAAATATGATACACTTGCAAGCGGCATTGGTAAAGTTATAAGGTGAATCACACAAATTTATGATAAAGTAGGCATTATTATGTTATTCAAGAAACTGAAAGTGAATTTCCCCCCCTTTATGTTTGTTATGTTATGTTGAATTTTTTTTAAAAAACGTTGGAAAAAATCAGATCATATCTTCCAGCCCTTGTCTGGAAACTGGGAGTCATGTTTCCAGCCTCTCTCTGCCTGTGGCAGACTCCTGTGGCTTTGCACCCACCTGTGGTTTTTGTGCTCTGACCGTCAGCCTTGTCCTCCTTCCCCAGGTGTGCCAGTAATCGAGCAGGCGAAACCGGAATGGACGTCACAAGCCGCTGCACTCTCGGAGATCCCAACAAGCTGCCGGAAGGGGTCCCGCAGCCCGCTCGCATGCCTTACATCTCGGACAAGCACCCGCGGCAGACGCTGGAGGTCATCAACCTGCTGCGGAAGCACCGGGAGCTGTGCGATGTGGTGTTGGTCGTGGGGGCCAAGAAGATCTACGCCCACCGGGTGATCCTGTCGGCCTGCAGCCCCTACTTCCGAGCCATGTTCACAGGGGAGTTGGCGGAGAGTCGGCAGACCGAGGTGGTGATCAGAGACATTGACGAAAGGGCCATGGAGCTGCTGATTGATTTTGCATACACTTCTCAGATCACGGTTGAAGAGGGGAATGTCCAGACCTTACTGCCAGCCGCCTGCCTTCTCCAGCTAGCCGAGATCCAGGAAGCCTGTTGTGAATTCCTGAAAAGACAGTTGGACCCGTCCAATTGCCTCGGCATCCGGGCATTTGCCGATACCCACTCCTGCCGGGAACTGCTGAGAATCGCTGACAAGTTCACGCAGCATAACTTTCAAGAGGTGAGTGGCCCCAATCTGCACGTGCAGCAGAGTGAGGTGGTAGGATTGGACTGAACCATTGCAGATTTCAGGGGTTTTTTTTGGGGGGGGGGAATTGCTCTTTTGAATGTTCTTCTACGTGGTAGAGCTGTCTGCAAGTATAAAACCAGCACAGCAGGGCTAGAAATTTTCTCAGTGTTTTGTTTTGATTTTTTCCAGAAAGCTTTTAAAATGTGGCCAACCATTTAAAAACGACGTCTCCCGTCTGCACTCTGAAGTGGTGCAGTCCAGACTCCTTGCTCTGCCACCTTTTCTGTGCGCTCTGCCACCTCCCCTGTACCATATGATCCTACCTTTGTTCAGACTCATGAAGTTGTGTGCTTTCTGTGCATTACTAAAAGCTATTAACCGGCTGTGCCCCTGTGCCATAAAATCTTTATTCTACCTGTCTACCAGAGTTATACCACTTCAGTCTCTTGTATGGGTAAACCTTGCAACAAAGGTTTGTGTTTGTATTTTAGAGAGATCCTGGGGGTGGTTAATCTCTAATTTGCAGAGCAGCCCTTAAGAATTCCTCGAGTGTTAAAAGTTGTATGGGCTTGACTGGCGTACAGATTGCCTGTGGATTGCTTCCAGCAGTGTAGCTTGATACCTTCAGTTAGGCAGCTTAGCATGGAATCATTCTAACCATGCAGATAATACTTATCTGAAGTTGAAGACCCTCTCCTTGTGCCGGGATTAGCCTGCTGTGAGCAGGGCACACTGCTCCATGTAATGCAGGCCTACCAAACTTGGGTTTTACCAAGCCATGTATGGTAGCCCGTCAGATGTTTGACAACCAGTATCAGACAAACAGACCAGAAAAGTAGGATATTTTATCAGGGTGATGAAGGGCCAGAATATATGTCTGGTGGACCGCACTTGGCTTGGTGGGTCATAAATATGTGGCCAGTATAATGTTCCAACCCATGCAAAAATAAAACTCGTCTAAACTCTAGAGGAAAAAGTTTAGACTCAAAATTAATTTATTTTAAAAAAAAAACTTAGAAGAGGAGATTGGATTTATACCCCCATCCTTCACTAGGAGTCTCAGAGCGGCTTACAAACTCCTTTCCCCTCCCCTCCCCACAACAGACACCCCGTGAGGTAGGCGGGCCTGAGAGAGCTCTTTCAAGAACTGCTCTTGAGAGAACAGCTCTGACAGAACTATGGCTTGCCCAAGGTCATCCAGCAGCTGCGAGTGGAGGAGTGGGGAATCAAACCTGGTTCTCCCAGATTAGAATCCGTGCGCTTAACCACTACACCAAACTGGCTCTTTTTGTATTAAAATAATACAAAAATCCTTTTTGTATTAAAATATTCCAGTGACAAACCCAAGCACTATGGAGTCTGAATCTGATCTTGAGTGCTTAACCATAGATCTTTGCAGGGATCTCCTTGCCCCTCCCTGTCTTGTATCCTCAAATGCACGACTTGTAGAGTGATCTGAGGAGGTGACTTCAGTGAGTGATTACGATAGCTTCTGCACTCACCCACCCTGCATAAAGTGAAAATTTACTTACAGATGAAGAAGTAACCTGGTTCTTATTCTAGTCTCTCTTTTTCTGTTGTTATTGCTAGAACTCAGTGATCAATTAGTACTAAAAAACATAACAGCGTTCTGTTCATGGTGTGGAGCAGATATTCTCAAGAAATTCGGTTGACTATCACGTATTGGTGCGCTGGATTACTTCAGCAGCACCGAAGGGTGTTTTGTTGTGGTCTTAGTTAACAATTATGAGGTTGAACTGTAGTTATATAACTGTATCTAAGGGAATCGCCGGCCGCAGCAATTTTGGCTCTGCAGGCACACATTACAGTGTCTCGGCCACCTTTTCCCCCTTTCCCTTTTTTGACAAGTTGGGAAGACAGAGCTTGCCTGTCGAACAGTCGATTGCCCGCTTGGTTCTAGTTGATTTAGGTGGGATCCAGACCTGCATAACTTGTGACCCGCTAAGTCAAACTGAGGTCAAATTCTAGCTCACCACCTGCTGGCAGTTTGCTTGTTTTTGCAATCCCAGGCAAAACAGAAAAAGCGACCCGTTGATCAAGCGGTGGGTCACACAGTGCCCAGGCCTTGTTGGGGTCTGTCCCGTGGCCTTCCGCAAAACAGCAAGCGACTAGAGAGAGCTCCTGCAGTTCGCCAACCTGCAGTGGGGGAATTAGGCAGTGTCTGTTCGGCTGTACCAAGTGTAAGGAGGAGTTTTTCTGGGTCCTCTCAGGCGGTCTGAGAAATGTGCTTTCTATCTGGGGCCTAGGAATTATTAACATGTTTGCAAATTGTCAAGGGCTTGTATTTCACAGCCGTCCGGTCCCTGGCGGGTTTTTTTAGAAGTCTCTCGTTTCCTCTGAAGTGAGTTTGCGCTCCTGCCCTGTGTGTGTATATTTAGAGAGAGTGCAAAAGAGACGGGAGGGGAGGGGTGGGGTGGGAAATCAGAGGAGCCCACCTCCTTGCCCTGAGACACTCTGCCTTCTGCTGCAAACCAAGGCCAGGAAGGCTTTTCAGATTTATCCAACAGCGTTTAGGTAACTTTTGAGACTCGTTATGTTCTGGGTTTTATTTGCATTGCTAGTAACACTGCTTTATTAGCGGGCGCTGGTCTCTGTTCAGATGTAACGTTCTCCCACCCACCACTTACGAATCTTCCTCGCACCTTGGGAGAAGGCAAGCGGAAGACTTCAGCGGTGCAATCCTAAACAGTCATAGACTTCTAAGTCCATTACAATTGGTGAGCTTAGAAGGGTGTAACTCTGTTTAGGATTGCCCTGTCAATCACTTGCGGCATTGCCTTCCTCACCCTCGACACCCTGTTAGGCTTAGTGGTCTTTATTTCTGCATTATAAAGGTAAAGGTTCCCTTGCTTGAAAGCCAGTCGAATCCGACTCTAGGGTTGCGGTGCTCATCCCTGTTTCAAAGCCGAAGAGCCAGTGCTGTCCAAAGACGTTTCCGTGGTCATGTGGCCGGCATGACTAGACACCAAGGCGCACGGAATGCTGTTACCTTCCCATCGAAGTGGTACCTATTTATCTACTTGCAATTTCTTGCTTTCAAACTGCTAGGTTGGCAGGAGCTGGATTATAGGTTATAGATTCTGCATTATAGACTGGGGGAAATGGAGGCTGCAGTCGTGACCTGCTTGTTGGAACAACGGCCTTTGTTCTTCCTGCTGGGACAGCCTAGCTTTGATCTGTTCAGTGTGCTGCAAAGCTGCCCAGCGTCCTCAGGCTTCGGCTTGTGAGGTGCCGCTTGTGCCACCCTGCCTTTGCCAAAGCCCGCGGGAGCGGAGGGCACCCGATGGCTCCATGATGCTGTGCTTCTCTTTCAAGCGCTCCTGGTGGCTCTCAGAGTTCCCCCACAATCCTGCGTCTCTCGCCTCTCTGCACAGGTGATGGAGAGCGAGGAGTTCATGCTGCTTCCGGCCAACCAGCTCATCGACATCATCTCCAGCGACGAGCTGAACGTCCGGAGCGAGGAGCAGGTGTTCAACGCCGTGATGGCTTGGGTGAAATACAGCATTCAGGAGAGGCGACCTCAGCTCCCCCAGGTAGCCATTCTTTATGGGAGTCCATGGACAGAGCTGGCTTTACCATGGCACACATCTGTTTAGTTAACTATATCTGTATATGTATGTGTAAATACACGCAGAGGGAGTGCTATCTATGTACAGAATCATAGAGTTGGAACTTGGAAGGGACCTCCAGGGTCATCTAGTCCAAGCCCCCCTGCACAATGCATGTACAGTGTACATGGTAATTTTCATATTAACATAAGAAGAGCCCCATCTAAGTTACAGCAGTGGATGAAGGTAACAAAGGAAAAGGGGGTGTTCATTTTTACATTGTACACATGGCTATAGTCATGGCGTGGCCAGACACCCTTAACTACATGCCATGAGCCTCCCGAAATGGTCACCTTCTATCCTCCCCAAAATCTCATTTTTTTTGCTTCCACCGTTTGGTTAAGGAGCTACAACAAATGCGTGCAGGCAGTATTTTGCCTGTAAGAAGAAAACCCACTCCTGTCTTCTGTCCTTGAGAACAAAGAAGGGTTGCTAGCTGGGTTGGGAAATGTCTGTAGAGCTCAACAGGAAACTCATGCTCCAGAGCTTCCACTTTCTCCAGGGGAACTGATCTCTAGTCTGGAGACTAGTTGTATTTCTGGGAGAACTCCAGGCCCCATCTAGAGGTTGGGCAGCCTGCTGTAAAGGCATTGGAATGATGTACAAGTGCTGTTCATTAAAAAACATTAAATAGCTGTATGCTCCCCAAATTACTTCTCTGGGGCTGTAAAGGCAGTCTTCGTTTTGAGATCCATAGGAGGGACCTGTCTCTGAACGACTTTGTTGCTGGAGGGCAGACTGCACTAGGGCACACCGAAATAGAGGGGGCGGGGAGAGGAACAAAAGGAATGGGTAGAGCAAGATGTGAACTAGCTGGATATGTCCTTCCTTTGCACCTTCTCCTGAGAGGATGGTCCTCCTTCCCCCACTCAGTCTTGGCTGGTAGGAATGGACGAGAGGGCATTCTTAGTCCACGAAGCTACACTGAGTTTTCTTTGTCGCTTTCATGGTCTTCTGTAAGCAAGAAGGGGACACCTTCTTCCCTGGTATGCTTTAATATCCAGAATAAACTGGGTTAAATGTACTGGACTACATGAACTTACGCACTCAAAAATATCCATCGCCACAGTTCTGTTTTTATGGACTTGAAACGATCTTCACTATGGCTTCCCTGATGGAAATCAGGTGCTTGTTTTAAGACATCATTCTAAAGTGGGCCGGGAAGAACTAAATTTTGGTAGGTATTATCTGGCGTTGACTGTTCTTTGCGGTCAGTAGCCAAATCAGAATCCAAAACCATGGTCTGAAGCTCATTTTGCAACTCCTGGCTTTTGTTAAGTATCTGTGGCTTGGCACAGATGGACCGTAGTTATGGTCATCGCTCAACCTCCAAAGGCGACAGTGCAATGAATTCATGGAGAAGTTGAGTGCTGAGAGGACAGAGAACTAAACTGGACAAGCTACTTTAAACCATGGGATTCCTGTTTAACAGATGGGTGTTGAGTGCCTGTAATGTAATGTAATCAAGCCTGATGCCTTTTGGTACTTTGTAACTACATCTACCTAGAAGGCTGAGAAACCCTCCATAAATGGTGGTGCCTGCTAGGCCTCCTCGGTGCCCGGGTTGAATCCTCATTTCCTCCTCAGCCATTCTCTGCTTGCAGGTGTTGCAACATGTCCGGCTGCCTCTGCTCAGTCCAAAATTCCTGGTGGGCACAGTTGGCTCAGATCCGCTAATTAAAAGTGATGAAGAATGCAGGTAAGTTGCCCTTGGCAAAGAGGAACTTGTTAATGGTGGGGTTTTTTTGGGGGGGGGTTTTGAAATCTTCTGGAAACCTTCCTTCAGAAGATGGACTGTTCTTCTGTGTGTCATTATCCTGTTCTGAAGATCAAGGTGTGTTTGCTGCGGTGGGATATATAAGCAGACCAAAGAAGGTTAGAAGTTACCATGGTAGTATATGGATGGGAAATATATATGCAATATCATCTTCCATTGGTGAAAGCAGATGTATGCAGTGTTCCCTCTAAGCTGAGTTAGTGTGAGCTAGCTCATAGTTTTTTAGCCTCCGGTTCACACATTTTTGTCTGAGCTCAGTAAGGATGACTCCAGAGCAAACTAATTTATGCAGTAGCCAAATTACTTGCTCACAACTTTAATGCCAATAGCTCACAAAGTAGAATTTTTGCTCACAAGACTCCACAGCTTAGAGGGAGCATTGGATGTATGTGTATTTTACCTGCATGCATAAATGGGTTGATCCAGAGAAAATATCACCTTAAGTCTCCGTGGCCAACACAGCAAGAACTGTCTGTATGAGCGACTCTGAAGTCCATATATCTTCCATATTTTCCATTTCATTCAGACAGGTTGAGTAATTAGCATTTTTAACATGTTGTGTGACTACTTACAGCTGGAATAAATTTGGTCTATGGCTTTTTCTAAGAAAGCTGAGCTACCAGGAGCATGTCAGTTGATCGGTGAAACACTTGTCAGGGTTTACAAAGGGCTGACTGTGAATTGTCCTCCCCAGAGTTCATTGCTTCTGATTTTAAAATTGCCACTTTTACAGTGCAGTCCTAAAGAGTTACTCCCTTCTAAGCCTTCAGTGGACTTTAAAGGGTGTAACTGCTCACAACTGCACTCTTAATCTGAGTGTTTGGAATATGTAAGGGAAGCACTTTGAGTGGTATATTCTGGCCCTGGTCACACGGGCCGGATATCGCGGGGGGAGGCGTGGCTAATTGCCCTGGTGCAGTTTGAACTGCGATTACGCGATCAGACGTGGCGGCGGCACACTATGAGTCCTTCCCTTGGTGCCGAGGGAACGGAGGGGAATGCCGCGTGCCGTCGCGATCACACCACCGGCGTCTGGAGGCAGCCCGTGGCAAACGTTTACTAGTACCTTGGAGGTACTAGCTTTTTAACGCGCATTGTCGGCGGTAAGCCACGGGTGCGCTCCACGTCCCAGATGTTGGGGTGTGATCGCGCCTGGGTAATCCGCCCACCATCCGTGCCTCTCCCGCAGTAACTTTGCCGTGTGACCGGGGCCTCTGTGTGGCTATTTGTATTTGGTTTAGGTTTTAAATGATGGATGGGGCTATCCGCTTTTGGAGCGACAGTAGTTTGGTGAAGATAAATGTATGACACAGCTGTCCTGTGCAGGGACCTAGTGGATGAAGCCAAGAACTATCTGCTGTTGCCCCAAGAGCGGCCACTGATGCAGGGACCAAGAACTCGTCCACGCAAACCCATCCGCTGTGGAGAAGTGCTCTTTGCAGGTATGTACACGCAACCATAGACTTGGGAAGCTGGAGAAGGCGCTTGAGTAAGAGCACTCTTCTGCCCATAAGAATTCCATGTCAATCAAGATGTCCCTTGGCTTAGTTTTAGACCACAGGATCTCCATCACCTTTGGTTTCCCTAGTTGGGGGAAAAACACTTGACCCTCATTGCCACAGTTACATTTAAAGTGGACTAGTCTCTCACAGACATGTCACATGGAAGGAGGGAGGAGGCACTGGTATACATCTGTGGTATGATGTCAGAATCCCAGAGAAAACAAAAACAGCCCTTAAAAACGGGGAGTAGCTTGGTTCTCCAGTGTTCAGTCAAGTGAAACAAGCCGGCCTGTTGTTACAACCCCATGTTGTGATTGATGCAAATGGGAAGCAAACAGAACGATGGCCTTGGTGGATCAGGTCAAGGTGTATCTCATCCAGCATTCTGTTTCCATCAGGCAGCTGCCTGTGGGAGGCCTCCCCAAAAAGCAGGATGTGCTAACCTGTACCGTATTTGCTCCCTGCATTCAGCAACCTTAGAGTGTCCGACTAGGGTCTGGGAGACCCAGATTCGGATCCCCACTCTGCCATGCAGGTTCACTTGGTGATGTTGGAAGTAGGCACCCTCCTTCAGCCTAACCTACCTTACAGTGTTGTTGTGACGATAAAATGGAGGAGAGAAGCAGGATGTTAGTCACCTTGGGTCCAGTGTTCCCTCTAAGCTGAGTCAGTGTGAGCCAGCTCACAGTTTTTTAGCCTCTGGCTCACACATTTTTGTCTTAGCTCAGGAAGGATGGCTCCAGAGCAAACTATTTTATGCAGGAGCCAAATTGCTTGCTCACAACTTTCATGCCAGTAGCTCACAAAGTAGAATTTTTGCTCACAAGACTCCACAGCTTAGAGGGAACATAGCTTGGGTCCCCATGGAGGAGGGAAGCAAGGTATATAGATAGCTAAATAAATAAAATTCGTGGGATCCAACCCATTCTTTATTTGTTGGTATGAATAATTGTGGGTCCTCCTTCAGGACACATTCGACTTACCCACACTTGGGCTAGCAGAAGGAAAGATGCACAGATTTAGTGCCCACCCTATCCTTGCATCTTTTTCACCTTCCCATAGCTGGAGAACACCAGAGTACCTGAAGAAACGCCAGAGAGCCGGTTTGGTGTAGTGGTTCAGTGTGCGGACTCTAATCTGGGAGAACCGGGTTTGATTCCCCACTCCTCCACTTGCACCTGCTGGATGACCTTGGGCAAGCCATAGTTCTGATAAGAGCTGTTCTTGAAAAAGAGCAGTTTCTGTCAGAGCTCTCTGAGCCCCACCTACGTCACAGGGTGTCTGTTGTGGGGAGGAGAAGGGAAAGGAGTTTGTAAGCCGATCTGAGACTCCTTTGGGTAGTGAAGGGCAGGGTATAAATAAAATCTCTTCTTCTCCTCCTCCTCCCCCCTCCTCCCCCTTCTTCTTCTTCTTCTTGGAGTAATGAGGAAGCAGTACTTCTGGGGTCAAAAGTAAACTGGAAGGAAACAGTTGGGCACTTGTGGGGCTTCTGACCTTTTCTCCTCTTGTCATATTTGTTTTAAAATGATACTGCTCCCGTCCACCAGTTGGTTTCCAATTTGACTTCCACAGTGGGGGGCTGGTGCAGTGGGGATGCAATTTCCAGCGTTGAGCGTTACGACCCTCAAACCAATGAGTGGCGGATGGTGGCTTCCATGAGCAAAAGGCGGTGCGGCGTTGGCGTCAGCGTCTTGGACGACCTTCTGTATGCAGTGGGGGGCCACGATGGTTCCTCCTATCTGAACAGCGTGGAACGGTGAGTCATTCCAAGATAAAACTGCAGGCTCCCTGATGCTTATCTGTTTGCTAGAATAATAGCAACCGATATATGTTGTACGTCCGGTTCCACATTTGGGCGCGCAAGAGGTGTCTGTTGTGTGTGTACTTTTGGTTAGTGCCCAGCTGTGTCTTTGTGGACAGAAAGCATCCTGCCGCAATTGTCTGTCCTCCGGTATCCAAAAGTAAAATTCCTAGAAATTCTGAAGCCTGTTTTTGTTTTCTTTCCCAGGAGAAAGCTGACATTTAGGAGAGGGCGGGGGACGGATATAAATTTCCTTACAACTTTAGGACTGTAAATGTATTTTATATAATTTTAATATATAAAATTGTACTCTTTGGTGTAGTTACTACATTTAGAAGCATAATTTCTGCTTTTGTGTGTGTTTGTTTTTGCTGTCAAGTCATAGCTGACGGAGTGAGCTCCCATCTCTAGTTCCAGCTCCTGCCAACCTAGCAGTTCGAAAGCAAGAAATTGCAAGTAGATAAATAGGTACCACTTCGGTGGGAAGGTAACAGCGTTCCGTGCACCTTGGTGTTTAGTCATGCCGGCCACATGACCACGGAAACGTCTTCGGACAGCGCTGGCTCTTCGGCTTTGAAATGGAGATGAGCACCGTAACCCTAGAGTCTGATTCGACTGGCTTTCGAGCAAGGGAACCTTTACCTTTTACATAGCTGACTTACGGCAACCGTGTAGGGTTTTCAAGGCACAAGATGTTCAGAGGTGGTTTGCCTTTTCCTGCTTTTGCATACCCTGACGTTCCTTGGTGGTCTCCCATCCAAATACTAACCAGGGCCGACCCTGCTTAGCTTCTGCGATCTGATGAGATCAGGCTAACCTGAGTAACATAAATGTGTTTTATATCATTTTAGTATATAAAATCGTACTGTGTGGCGTATTTATTATATTTAGAAGCATAAGTACCTGGATTTTCTTCAAACAATAATGCAGTTATACCAAGTTGGAGGCTTAACATTGTGGTGGTAGGGCAAAAGAACTTACCAGTGTGATACCACACAGGCCAAGTATCTAAACTGGGTCCTTGGGCACTACGTGTGCACTGTACAACCATAGCCCAAGCAGGTGATGCATTGGTGTGCTGATATTGCACATATAGCAGAGTTGCACACATAACAGTCCAGTTTAATCTGCTCTGTAACGTATCCTTGCCAGGCATCGTGGCTGTCACAAACAGAATCAGAAAAGGCTTGCAGTGCAAGGCCTGTAAGCAAAGCTTGAGAACTCCAGGGAGTGCCAGAATGAAGATCTGACCTGTTTGTTGCCCTTCCTAGATATGACCCAAAGACGAATCAGTGGAGCAGTGACGTGGCCCCCACTAGCACCTGCAGGACCAGTGTCGGGGTGGCAGTTCTTGGTGGCTACCTGTATGCTGTGGGTGGCCAAGACGGCGTCTCCTGCCTCAATATTGTTGAAAGGTATATATTTTTTAAAGAGCACAATGTACTTTCAGAAGAAGATGGAGTGGCTGAGTGAACTTTTCATTGAGATGTTTTTGGTGTCTTGCTTCAGGTATGACCCAAAAGAGAACAAATGGACTCGAGTGGCTTCCATGAGTACCAGGCGCCTTGGAGTGGCTGTGGCTGTACTAGGGGGTTTCCTTTATGCTGTCGGGGGCTCTGATGGGACATCTCCTCTGAACACAGGTATCTCCTGTCTAGGAGCTGTCTCTTTCTGTGTGTCTGCTGTCACCTGGTTGTCCGTCGGAATATACTGGAAGACCTTTGACATGACATATTTGAGGAAGATGTTGCTTAGAAAACAATAGCGCCTGATAGACATCAGGACAGTCTAGCTTTTACCAGGTTGTTTTATATATTAAATAGATGCTTCGACTTCCATCAGCCTGGCAAGCTTGAATCAGTTGGAGAAATTGCTTTTGCGGCTAGGGCCAAGCTTTGGTGTGTGTCTGTGTGAGGGGGAGAGAACTCATATCATTTGATGTCACTCTGTTCATGGAGGGAAAGGTCTGTCAACCACTAATTGCTGTGATAGCTAAATTGAACTCCCAGGTTGAAAGGCAATGTTTGTCTGAGTGCCAGTTGCTGGAGAACATATGTTGGATCAGGTCCCACAAATCCCATCCCTGTGCTGTAGGAAAACCACTACAGGGAGGCTGCATTAACTACTCCCTGCAGTGTAGGAAAGCACTGTGGCTGGGAGGAAAAAAAGATTCTGTGGTATCTAATCCAACAGGGAGAGGGCCATTACCTTCACGTCCTGGTGATGGGCTTTCTGGAAGCATCTTGGCTGATCACTGTTGGAAACCAAATTTTGAACTAGATGGACAGTTGGTCTAGCCCTGCAGGGCTGCCATTAAGAACATAAGAACATAAGAGATGCCAATGTTGGATCAGGCCAAAGGCCCATCCAGTCCAACCCTCTGTATCACACAGTGGCCAGAAATACCAGTGCCATCAGGAGGACCACCAGTGGGGCCAGGACATTAGAAGCCCTCCCACTGTTGAAACCTCCCCCCCCAAGCACCAAGATGTCAGAGCATCACTTGCCCCAGAGTCCCTATCTATACCTTGTGGCTAATAGCCACTGATGGACCTCTGCTCCATATGCTTATCTTTTTGCGTTGCGGTCTTATTGAAGGAAGGAAATAGGAATGGACAGATGCTTGCTCCAGTCATTGTTAGTTGGTTTGGGGTTCGTCGTTCTTTTGTCCTCGACTTAAAGAAAACCAAAACCCTGTTTAATCAGTGGTGTATGGTTCCTCCACAGTGGAACGCTACAACCCCCAGGAGAACCGTTGGCACACAATAGCACCCATGGGTACCCGGCGTAAGCATCTAGGCTGTGCAGTATACCAAGACATGATATACGCAGTTGGAGGTAGAGACGATACTACAGAACTCAGCAGCGCTGAACGCTACAACCCCAGGACCAACCAGTGGTCTCCTGTAGTGGCCATGACATCACGCCGTAGTGGGGTAAGCTTTGTTTGATCCGGATACTGTTGCTTCTGAACTTATTTAGACTGAGATGCGTATGGGGAAGGCCAGTGTGATTTGGAGCTGCGGCTAAGAAAACTCCTATGGAAGTAGGTGACACCTAAGTGCTTGGCATTTGGGAAAGAGGAATTGTAGCCAGCAGTACAATGATTTTTGATATTCCCAAGTCTGTGTCCATTCCAACCAGTTTGGTGAGGTGGTTAGGAGCGCGGACTGTAAAATGGGAGAACCGGGTTTGAGTCCCGACTCCTCCACCCGTAGCTGCTGGGGTGACATTGGGTCAGTCACGGCTCTCTCACAGCTGTTCTCTCAGAGCTCTCTCAGCCCCACCTACCTCACAGGGCGTCTGTTGTGGGGAGGGGATGGGAAAGGAGATTTTAAGCCACTCTGAGACTCTGAGTGAAGGGCGGGGTATGAATCCAATCTCTCCTTCTTCTCTTTCCATTTGAAACTTTCAGGTGGCAAAAGAGATTCAAAAGCACAGCACTGCACCAACGTGCATTGGATGAGTGGTTAATGTGGTGTTGCTCACGTGCAGGGTGCTCAGATAGTGCAATAATATTTAAGGAACGTATTTTTAATGAACTTAACAAAGGGAAAATAATCTACTCCTTGGGGAAGGGATATCTGTCAGTGGCATGTGCATTGGATGAGTAGTTAATGTGGTGTTGCTCATGTGCAGGGTGCTCAGATACTGCAATAACATTTAAGGAACATATTTTTAATGAACTTAACAAAGGGAAAATAATCTACTCCTTGGGGAAGGGATATCTGTCAGTGGAGCAGTCCAAACATCCCCTAAAATGCTTCTCCTAGGGGATGGTGCGAACCCCAGGAACAGGATGTCAGAGGTTTGTAGAGGGAGGGGGGAATTAGTAGAAAGTTGTAGGCATCCATCCTCCATGGGGTCCGGCCCTTTCTGCTAGGCTCTGTGTATATGCCCAAGAGTTTGGCTGAGAAATGGGCCCTGTTTTCCCCATCTATAGATCCATGTGTGTCTTGAAGTGCATGGGTTAGATCAGGGCTTTTTTTTGTAGAAAAAGCCCAGCAGGAACTCATTAGCATAATAGGCCACACCCAACAGCAGAAACTCATTAGCATATTAGGCCACAACCCTGACAGCACAGTTCGTTAGCATATTAGGCCACACCCCCATGCCTTCCCTTGGCTTGCTGGGGTGCCCCACAGCTGTGGGGAGCGTGGGCAAGCCGGCCCTCGGACAGGCCGGGGGAGTCATTTAAATGCCTCCCCGATTTTTCCAGGGCCCTCCCTGCCTCGGTGTCACCGGGGTGGGGGTCGCTCTCCAGGCCTTCCCTCTGTAGCCACGCACGCAGAGGTTTTGGTTGTAGTGGGTGTGGCCAACTCTGAAGCCAGCAGGAACTCTGTTCCTGTGCGTTCCCACCCCAAAATAGCTCTGGGTTAGATCCTATCACAAAGATTTGCCTATATGGGTGAGGAGGATTTACCCCTCTTCCTGCAGTCCTCCAACTCCTGCCTTGTGTTGCTCTTGGTGAGTCCCCTGTCTCTTAGGAATAGCATCTCAAGGGGCATGTTGAAGTGCTTTGGAAGGGGTGGGGGAGCCAGAGACATTGCACTTCCGTTCATGGAATTTAGACGAATAGCCTGATCAACCAGTTAGTTAGACAAAAGCCCTTTCATCTTACTGCTTGGGTCCAAAATACCAGAGAGCTGGATCTGATGTTTTGTCCTACGATTGGTCTTAGAGGGGGATCAAAACAGTTTTTGTGGCCTGGGTTTGACTGCCATCACTGCTACCAAAAGTGAGAGGGATCAGTACTTGGTCCACTGCTTTTTTCTGTTTCTCCCCCTACCCCATGCCCACTCAGTGCATGCCCTGAGATGTTGCTTGTGGAAAGCGGGGGACTCTCAGGAACACTGCTGGGTGCAGTGTGGGGGTCTCCAGTGGGAGGAGGGGAGTCAGCGAAAATGGCCCTGCCCTGCTTGCTCCACTGACAGAAGTGCTCTTCTGCTGGTGGAAAACAAGGTTTGGGTCCAGTTAATTATCCCTTCCAGCAGCCACTCTTCCACTAAGAGACAAGTGTGTACTACATGCTCGAACCTATACTCGATCTTTTGGCCGATGCCTTTAGAAGAACAGCATTAAAAAACAAAACACCATTATCATCTAGGTTGGTCTTGCTGTGGTGAATGGACAGCTCATGGCTGTGGGAGGCTTTGATGGAACAACGTACTTGAAGACCATTGAAGTGTTTGATCCAGATGCCAACACGTGGAGGTAAACTTTTTTTAAAAAAAAATCTTAATGAAGTTAATGAAAAAAAGTTAATGAAAAAAAATCTTAGATATTTATTGAAATTTCCTTAGATTCGTTCTGGAAAATAAAATAAATCAATGCTGAGAGTTTATATCCTAAAGATACCAATGCGGGGCAAACCGGTTTTCAGTTATTGAAACCTCTCAGAACCATAAACCAGACAATTTCATTGAAGGAGCGAGATCCTAAGAATCAATACAACCGTAGTTCTTAAAGCGTGAAGTTTTGTTTTTCCAGCCGAAGGAATAATAGTTTTGATTTCCGACAGGAAATTCATTAATAGTTCCGTATCCATATGTTTTTTAACATATCCTACTAAAACTTTCTTAACATATTTTTGTATTCTTATATCCACCATTTCTGTGTTAGTCTGTAACACCTGTCACAGGGAGTACTTGGCCCGTCATCCGTGGTTTCTGTAGTATCATCTCTGCTCAGGCAATGGTCTAGAGGTGTGACGCCTCGCTTCAAATGGAATGCCCTGTTTCATGAATCCTCCTTGCAATGAGAACATCTATCTTTTTAGGCAACCTACGTATCTTCATACTGATTCTTTGTTTTGTGACAAGCCGTCCATTCTGCTTGGTTTGGCTTATTCCAGACCCTGTGAGCTGAGGAGGTTTTCCCTCAAAGCGGTGATGTTAGTGCAGCTCTTTGCTCAGTAAAGATGAACAGCACTGATGCATGATTGCCTTGCGAAATCCACCGTTGCCTTCAGATAGATGACTTCTGGATTTGTCTCATATCCTCTAGTATGCAGTTCATAGAAAGATGACTTAATGATGATACAAATCAGTGAGCTATGCTTAATGGTCATAAGCTTTCTCAGCTTGAGAATGTTTGTTCTTCTATCGGAGGCATGGTTTGCACCTTGATCTGAAGCTATAAAAGGGCTTGTATTATTCTGGTGGTTGCTGAGACTAAATTATTTAGGTTAGTGCTGGATTAAGTACCTTGCATTCCTACCATATGTAACCCTGTTTAGGGTTGGATGTTCAAGGGAGCTAAATATTGCGCCTGTACCTCCTGAAGAGCAGACCACACATTGCAGATCTACCAGGGTTTTGTCTGCGCCAGACTAGGTTCAGGTTCTGCAGTATACAATTCCACAGAGGTTATTATCTCTGAAGACACTGAGCCCGGTCCATCACCAGGGGCTCAGGTTATTTATCCTGTGCACTGCATCTATGCAGAAGCATTTGAACCACCAGTGAAGCTATGCTGCACCTAACTCACTCTAACCTATGGCTTCTAAACTGTGCCCCCGACCTGGATGTCCCATTGTTGTCCCACAGTGGAAAAACATGTTTACTCAAAGCTCTTGAATTCTGTCTTAAATTTATCCTGCATGAGCTGCACTTGTTGCTGAATAATATTACTTTAGTCATACCACCTCGAATCAGGAGGCCTCTTTGGACTTCTTCCTCTGCAGCCTAAAACTCTGATTACAGAATGAGAGTTGTAACCAGGTGGTGAAACTGGAAATAGGATTGGGGCTTCCAAAATAACTGAACATACCCATTCTACCCCCACATCAGTGAACTTCTTGAAGTTAGTAATGAAGACAAACTGCAGGCCTTTAATGTAATTATTTGAATAAGGTCATGAATACCCTGATTTGGATAGTCCAGGCTACTCAGTCTCATCAGATATCGGAAGCTAAGTAGGGTCAGCCCTGGTTAGTACTCAGATGGGACACCACCACCAGGCAAGCCCAGGGTTGCTTTGCAGAGCTGGATCTGATGTTTTGTCCTACGATTGGTCTTAAAGGGGGATCAAAACAGTTTTTGTGGCCTGGGTTTGACTGCCATCACCGCTACCAAAAGTGAGAGGGATCAGTACTTGGTCCACTGCTTTTTAACTTGTTCATTAATGATTTGGAGTTGGGAGTAAGCAGTGAAGTGGCTAAATTTGCGGATGATATGAAGTTGTTCAGGGTGGTGAAAACCAGTGAGGATTGTGAGGCACTCCAAAGGGATCTGTCAAGGATGGGCAAGTGGGCATCAACATGGCAAATGGGGTTCAATGTGGCCAAGTGCAAGGTGATGCACATTGGAGCCAAAAATCCTAAATATAAATACACATTGATGGGGTCTGAACTGGCAGAGACTGAGCAAGAGAGAGATCTTGGAGTTGTAGTAGATAACTCACTGAAAATGTCGAGACAGTGTGTGACTGCAATAAAAAAAGCCAATGTTATGCTGGGGATTATTAGGAAGGGTATTGAAAACAGATCAGCCAATATAATAATGCCCCTATATAAATCAATGGTGAGACCTCATTTGGAATACTGTGTGCAATTCTGGTCACCACACCTTAAAAAGGATATTATAGCTTTGGAAAAAGTGCAGAAAAGGGCAACTCGAATGATAAAAGGGTTGGAACACTTTCCCTATGAGGAAAGGTTAAAGCGCTTAGGGCTCTTTAGCTTGGAGAAAAGACGACTGAGGGGTGACATGATCGAGGTTTATAAGATTATGCATGGGAAAGAGCAGGTAAAGAAAGAGGTACTTTTCTCCCTTTCTCACAATACAAGAACCCGTGGGCACTCCATGAAATTGCTGAGCGGTCGGGTTAGAACGGATAAAAGGAAGTACTTCTTCACCCAAAGAGTGATTAACACATGGAATTCACTGCCACAGGAAGTGGTGGGTGCTACAAGCATGGACGGCTTCAAAAGGGAATTAGATAAGCATATGGAGCAGAGGTCCATCAGTGGCTATTAGCCACAAGGTATAGCTAGGGGCTCTGGGGCAAGTGATGCTCTGTCTTCTTGGTGCTTGGGGGGGGGGTCAACAGTGGGAGGGCTTCTAATGTCCTGGCCCCACTGCTGGACCTCCTGATGGCACTGGTATTTCTGGCCACTGTGTGACACAGAGTGTTGGACTGGATGGGCCTTTGGCCTGATCCAACATTGGCGTCTCTTATGTTCTTATGAAAGCAAGAAATTGCAAGTAGATAAATAGGTACCACTTCGGTGGGAAGGTAACAGCATTCCGTGC